CCACCCCCACCAGGGACTCCTGTCTCCCTCCCTGATCACAGCCCACCCCAGCAGGGGACTCCTGTCTCTCTCCCTGATCACAGCCCACCCCCACCGGGGACTCCTGTCTCAATCCCTGATCACAGCCCACCCACACCAGGGACTCCTGTATCTCTCCCTGATCACAGCCCACCCCAGCAGGGGACTCTATACACCAAAAGTGACTCGAACACCCAGGGTTATGCTACCTGCTCTTGCTTCCTGGCCCTGTCCACTCATTGATGTCCTCAAAAATGACTGGAAGTCAACCTAAACAGGAAAAGGAAAGACTTGTACAATGAAAACTTGAAAGAAATTGAAAAGGATAGCAGGAGGTGGAAAGACCTTTCACGCTCATGGATTGGTAGAATGGTTTTGAAAATGGCCATCCTTCCAAAAGCAATGTATAGGTTCAGATAGGTCCCTATTTCTTATCTTTTGTAACAGTCGTTTATAAAATGAAGCAAAGACATTGATGCAAAACCTGAAACTTGGAAGCTACAAGAACAAGAACACAGAGAGAGAAACACTTGGCAAGGACACTGTGCTGAGGACTCCAGTAGCTCAAGAGATAATAGCAAGAAGCACTGTTCACAATAGCCAACATACATAGAATCAGCCTGGATGCCCATCAATGGCTAGAGACTTATGAACGAACCAAGAAAATGTGGTCTATAGGGCTAGGCTCAAACCAAGAAGACAAAAATGTGGCCTATATCCACAGTGGAGTCTTACTTAGCCCTAAGGAAAAAGGGAAATATGTCATTCGCAGGAAAATGGATAGCCCTGGAGATCATTGTACTAATAAAATAATCTAGACTCAGAAAGACAAATGCTGCAAGGGTCCTCTCATACGTAGAAGACATGCACATAGGAGAGGGACTGACTGTTTGGGGGGCAGAGTGTTGCTGATGAAAGGGTAGAAATGGTCAGGAAAGAGACGTGGACATTAAGTGTTAGAACAGTATAATGACATACACGTATGAAAATGTCATCATGAAATTCATTAGCCTGTATGTTAACTTTAAAATTAAGAAAAAAGAAACCTGGCAGGGCGGTGATCGTGACCCATGCCTTTGATCCCAGCACTCGGGAGGCAGAGCCAGGTAGATCTCTGTGAGTTCAAGGCCAGCCTGGTCTACAGAGCAAGATCCAGGACAGGCAC